TTCATTTAAATGTTTCAATTAATCAAATTATTAAGCTTTGGTATAGCTCAACTAATCAATTTATTAATTATATTTTATTAATTGCACAAGATTATTAATTGTATTTTCATACTTGATCAATTATTTAATTAATTAATTATAGTTTGTTATTTTAATTGCTCGATTAATTAATCATCTCATCAATTAATTAAATTAATATTTTAATTAATTAGTTGGTTAATTAATTAAAACCCTCGTGCTCTTTGATGGTTATATTAAATCTGACAGCCTCCCGGCATTTCCCCTCCGTGAAGGGAGGTTGGGAGAGCAATTTCCCTTTAAAATCCGCTCGACCAGACATCTATTCAAAGACCGAGGGCTTCAGGGGAAGAATCAACCCCAGTATTGGTCTTCAATTGCTTGTCGTACCTAGTAATTAATTATGATTTAATTTAATTGACCTTTTTAATTTTCTTAGAAATTCGAAAGCCTCTCGGTGTCCCCTCTTAGCGAGGGGAGGTTGGGAGGGCACTTGCCCTTTTGGATCCACTCGGTTGGTTTAAAATTGACAACTGATGGCTTTAGAGAAATAATAGATCCCGGTATAAATCTCCGAGTCATCCAATTGCTTGTAGCACCTATGATTTAAATTTAAAAATACTCATTTTTATTCCCCTTAAATCTGGCAGCCTTTAGGTACCCCTAGCTGCTAGGGGAGGTTAGGATTGAAACTTGTCCATTCAAATCCGCTCAGTTGGATTAAAGGGTCAATGACCAAAGGCTTCGAGGGAATAATTGACCCGAAATTACACGAGATCGTGAATCAACTCGATCAATTTGATCATTGTGTGCAAAACAAAGAACCAGTTAGGATATCGGGCTCCGCATAAGTTCAAACAGGTATGACTAGCGAGATCATAGTGAGTATGGGGCAGATTCAGGCTGGTTGGTCGTGGATTGTGTGTATAAGGGCTGGAGTTTAGCTGAATGCATAACAATATCCTTTATTGTTTCATTATGTCTATGAGTGCTTCTTCTATTGATTTAATTCGCCTGGTAATATGAAGATAACTTATTTCTAATTTCATTAAGACACTTAAATGTTAAGAGAATTAGTATGGACCATCTAATAGGGTGTTTTAAATATTGGTTATTTTCAGAAAGAGTGTACTCTAAAAAATTATTAATAGCCTTGCACTCTCTATATAAAGGGAGCCTGAGTGGAGATTGGTGAGAGATTAAGGGTTTAAAGAATCTTGAAACTCTATTGGCTACTATCATTCGACCTTTGATGTTGAACCACAACTGCCAAACCACCTCCATTGAAAGGCCACCACCTGATCTCTGTCACCAGATTTCAATTGTTAGACAACTATCATTAGAATACCCCCGAACTGCTTTCATCATACCATAACCATTGAACAACCGTTATCTATTACCAGCTTCATGATATTGTCCACAGTTACGATAACATGAAATGCTAGCAACTAATACTCTTGTAATCCTACATTCTCCAATTAAGAGGGTGGCCAATCTTTGTAACCGATACTTAATAGAACCATTTGATTAGATCATGAGGTAACGCCCTATGATTTTTTTTTTCTTTCTAAATTTTCCACTTTCAATCTTTAGTATTTTCTACATTTTCTTATTTAAAATATATGCGCTAGATCTTCATATAAAAATAAACCATTAAAGTTTCTCTCAATAACCCTGAATTTTTTAGTATACAACAAATAGTATAGTAACAAAGCAAAGAATGCTTGTTAAAAGACTTTGAATATTAAAAAAAACAATCAAACATATTGTAGTACATTATTCAATATTTTAAATTTGAATATTTAGTTGGTATCTATCATAAATATATCAAAAATATTTTCTTTTAATTTTATGTTTTATATTAGCCTATGTATGCTTTTATTTACTTGCAAAACTTTATAAAATTTGTTAGCAAGTCCCATTATTAATTTATTCTAATAAATTCAACTCAGTGGAAATCATACATATTATATTTTTTAAAAAAATCCTTAATACTATAACTCCAATTAAATATAGAAATAGAACTTTTAACTCCATGATAAATAAGTTGAAAATATATTTATATAAAATATACTTAAAATATATATTGGAATTTAGGTGTGAATTATAAAGCTATTAAAAATATTTTAAACTTATATCTTTCACTTCCTTATATCAAATAATTCTTTATTATTTATATTCTAATTTGTCATTATTTTTATAAATTTATATAATAATTGTTTGAATCATATTCATTTTTTCTTTTTGTTATAAACGACCCGGCCCGCTCATGAACCAGCTCCAAGTCATTGAGTTAACCTTGAGCTCGAGCTCGAGCTCTATTAATTAATCAAGTTCAAGTTCAAACAAAGAGGTGACTCGAGCTCATCTCGACTCATTATCAATAAATTTGGTTAAGATATTTTTGATCATTATTTAAATTTAATGAATGATATTTAATAAATTTATTTAAAATCCATAATGAATATAATTGAAGTAGATAAAAAAGAACTATGATTGTCAAACATATAAACAATAAATTATGAAGTTCTTAAGAAAAATACTTTGAGTACCTCCATAAATTTTTGTCCAATCAACAAATTTAGGGATTATTTGAGGTTGTTTTTGTATAATTTTAGTTCACTAAAATTTTCTTAGAAAGTTAAAACATAAGTTTTTATGAATATTTGATGATTGTAAAATATGTTATTATTATTATTTTTTAATATAATTTTAATTAAGAATGACTTTAAAATTATTAAATTTACTTCAAAATTAATGGTATGCATATAAAAATTTATGTTATACCAATATCAAAATAAATTCAATAATTTTCAGACTCAATATAATAAAAGATTGTATTAAGATAAGAAATTTATTTCTTTATATTCTAATATTAATGGTATCAAAATTTGCTTCACAATTGTTAAATATGCTTTAAAATTAATGTAATACAAGCTCTTCATATTTAATATTAATATAAAAAATCAATGATTTCAAACCATCTTAATATAACTTATTAAGATATCTTGATATTGCTTTTTTTTTTTTCTGTAGATAACCTTAACAAATATTTTTAAAATAAAAATTTTGTCAAGATATTCTAATGTAAATTATGCATTTTTTAAATATAATACAATACAAATTTAACATATATATCATTAATATCAAAACATATTTAATAAAATTTAAGCTTGTTGCGTCCTGGAATATTCGCGATGGTAGAGAAATATAAAGTTTAATGTCATAGCTTTGTACGAAGATCCAACATACAATCACATAAAAAGAGAGGATGTAGTATTCATAAGAGACACAAAGATTTTTATGTGGAAAACCCTCAAAAAGAAAAAAAAATCATGGTGTCTAGCACAGTTTGAATGAATCAACTATTATTTGCAGTTGATTACAAATGAGATCCTTCCTTGGGGGAAGGCCTTGGCTTCATGTAAGAAATATACATCATATAAAATGCATTACATGATGTGACTTGAAAGAATCACTTTTGATATATTTGTTTGGTCGGTAGAACCATACACAGTGGGCGACGGAGGTCGGAAAGACTGTAGTTGACGGGCGACAGTGGTAAGAAAAGACCATTTTTCGGTGACGGAGGTCGGAAGGACTGCAATCTGACTCTTAAGGTTGGAAGGACCGTAGTAGACGGGCGGTAGTTATAAAAATATAATTTTCTGACGATAGATGTCAGAAGGGCCTTAGTCGGCGGGCAATATTGGCCAGAAAGATCATTATCTAGCGACAGATGTTGAAAGGATTGTAGTCGGCGGGCAGCAGTGGTCATAAAGACTGTTGTATGGTAAAGGAGGTCAGATGGACCGTAGTCGGGAAGCGACAAAGGTCAGAAGTCCGACGATGGGAAGAAGTTCGGTGTCAGAAAGAAGTTCAATGATGGACGGAAGTCCGACGTTAGATACAAGTCTAGTGGAAGTCCGACAACAGGCAGGAGTCCGACGTCAGGTAGATATCCGGCAACGAGCGGAAGTCCGATAAAAGCTTGGCGACTCGCAGAAGTCCGACATTTGGTGGAAGTTCGACGACTAGTAGAAGTCTGACGATGGACAAAAGTCTGACGTCGGATAGAAGTCCAATGATAGGTAGAAGTCCGACGTCGGGTAGAAATTTGATGAAAGTTCGGCTGCGGGCAGAAGTCTGGCGACGGGTGGAAGTCAGGTGTCGAGTAGAAATTCGGTGACCGACAAAAGTTTGACATCGGGCAGAAGTCCGATGACAGGCAAAAGTTTGGTGTCGGTCGGTGGTCAGGAGGTGGTTGAGGAGGAGTCTAGTGGCAAGAGAATTCTTCATTCTCTTATTGCTTTGACCCTTTTCCATGAGAAATGGGGGGTCTATTTATAGTTTTCTGAGAGTAGAATTACCAGTAAATAGGAGGGGTATCAGGAGCAAGTTGGGAGTGGTTCAAGGCCGATATTGACCCCCTTTGATCAAAGATCATTTATCAAGTGTTTAAGTACCTTAGTGATATCAAAATTCGGAGATCTTGGGCTTGTTGGATTCGTCTTGTCGAGCCGCTCGATTCGACTATAAACATCTCACGTTTGCAAACCACTTATTAATCCAAATTATGTTGAACCTTCCAAATGCTCTTCAGGACTTTGATTTTGATCCATTTGGATTCGGGATCGAGACAAATTTGGTATTGTTGGGTTTGTATTTTCGAGACGTTCAATTTAACTATAAATTTGTTGGAATCAGAGTTCTGTTAATCCCGAATTTTATCTTTGAAGCTTCCAACTTGCTTTTGCTTTGAGATTCATGTAGATCAAGATAATTTTCTGATGATATACCAAAGCTCATCATGATATTATTAATAGGGAAATTAATTATATCAAAATATATTAATAAATTTAGATCTAACTTTAAATTATTAATTTTTTTTAAAAAAATTATATTTATTTTAAAATAAATTTAAATATATTTTTTTGAAAGTATAATTTAAATAATTTAAAGTCTAATTCACTCCTACTTTCCCGGAACGGACATCAAATCCTACGGAGTCGCCGCAGAGAGAAAACCTTTTCCCTCGCTCGTCTGCGAAGTTCCAATATTTCCGGCCTCCCATTGTTTCCATAAGGAGTTCTTGCCTAACCTCTTTCCTCCGCTCCTTATAAAATTCCAAACCCTAGCAATTGATTAATCCAATTTCGTTCGGATCGGCGATGGAAACGAACTTTGGGAATAAGATTACTTTGAAGAGCTCGGATGGTGAGGAATTCGTCGTAGACGAGGCGGTGGCGAAGGAGTCGCAGACGATCTTGCACATGATTGAGGACGGATGCGCGGACAGCGGCATCCCTCTCCCCAACGTCAACAGTAGGATCCTCGCCAAGGTCATCGAATACTGCAAGAAGCATGTCGATTATGTCGCGAAATCTTCCTCTACCGTTGTTGTTGTGGACAAGTCAGCCGAGGAAGAGCTCAAGAGTTGGGATTCCGAATTCGTGAAGGTTGATCAGGCTACTCTCTACGATCTCATCCTGGTATGATCTTGATCCTTGCCTAAGCTTTACTGGCGCTTGGTTTGCTAAACAGGGAGTATGGTTTTTTTTTTTTTTCTTTTATCTATCTTTATTAATTGTTCATCAGATCAATTTACCATTCTCGTAGCATTGCTTTATTATTTATTTTTTTCATCTTATTATTTTTGGATGTGATGATCTTACAGGTTTGTTTGGTGATAGGAATTTTCTAGGATATAAGCTAGATATAACTTAAATTAAATTCGTAATTTTGTTGTCCTTTTTAAATAATGGATTTCATAAATCCAAGATTTTGTTGGATTTTATATATTTAAGATTTTGTTGAAAAATGCATAATCATGATTAAAATACAAATGGTGAATAATAATCCTGGACCTGTAATTGAATATCAATGAATAATCCATAGGGGAAATGGCATACAAAATCTCCAATGCATATGAATGACGAACGATGAAGTTCAATTGACCTACAATGTTGGAACAATCGCAAGCAAGTTTCAACAAGCAATACAAGAAATCACATTAAACTCTCTGAATAATAATCCATAACATGCAAGGAATATGACATGTCTACGAGCAGAACGAGATGACAACAGTGCTGGCTGTCATCCTACAAGTACATACCAAAAGGCTATGATGAATACAACTTGCACACAAACAACATCAATCAGTGACAAAGAAGGCATACACTTCCTATAGGCAACAAAAGAAGACTTCTCATGCATGCATCCGCCTGCTTGTAGATTAAACTAGAAATGCTTGCGAGCAATGGTAGAGATTCTATCACGTGTGCGACAGCCATCATGCAAGTAATTATAGCGACATGTTAATCAATATGTGTGGGGAAATCAACAACGAATACAATTCACCTTGTAGTCAGCATTAGTGTGCAGATGAATATGCTGATTCATATGTGGATAATGGAATTTCTTGCAAACAATATAGTGCGGCATACAATGAATGCGAACATTCACAAGCAAATGTAGGAGACTCATCATGCATATAGTAGTCCACATACAGGTGACAATGAACAATGTGTAGTAGATGCTTGATTCCCCTCCACAGTCAATAACTATGCAATGACAGTTAAATCAAGGTTTAAAATTGCGTAAATAAGCCTCGACGCTGTCTGAGGCGTAAGCCTCACGGATGAAGAATTGTGTAAATGAGAATTTAAGGATTTTAGCAGGTAAATAATAGTAAGATTCTATCATACAATAAAAACATCTAAATGACAAGTGAAATTAGTGGAAAGTAAGAAAATAGATGTAATAAAATCATGTTCCAAAGTACATAATCACAAAATATTAGTCTATTAAAACTTCCAAAGTACAAATAAGAAAGAACATATAAAATTCAACCATGTCCCATCACTAAATGGGTCTTCAAGGGAATCTTCTTCTCCAATTGTATCTTTGAATGTCATATCTTCATCATCTTCAATGTGACTCTCTTTTCTCTTTCATGTCAATAAGAATGATCATTATCATGTTAATTGCCCAATTGATATAAATATAATGTAATATTAGCATATAATAAGTTGTGGAATACCTTTATTTTGTTGTTGTGCTGTAAAACTAGTGGATGTGTATGGTGTGGTAGTAGTGAATGTGTCCATTTGACCTCCTTTGTCCCTCAAGACATCCACACTTAGATCCTCTAGTTGCAGATCTGATAATGATAAATCTGTCTCATCATCTATGGTCCTTATCATTTAGAATTAGCCTTCTTATTTTCTTTCCCTCTATTTTCTTCCCCCACATAGAATTAATCCAGTGTGTTGATGTAAACATTGCTTCAAGAGATTGTCTCACATACAGCAGGCTCTGCAATGTCAAATAAGATGTGACAAACCTTTAGAATAAATTTGAATTAAGAATTGAAAATGATTTGCAGTGAACAAATATAATAACGACCCTAATGGTTGTAAGGCGAATGATTTCCTTCTTTGAAAACTTTCTCATTAAGGCTAAGACCCATGAGTGGTTGTATATGAACTTTGTGATCTTCTTCACCCTAGAAAGAGTGCTCTTGTGTTGAGATAAATCATCAAGTTCCTCCAATATGAGATCGATACAGTGCGCTGTGCAGGGGGTCCAATATAGGTGTTTCATCTTCTTCATCAACATCTGACCAGCTGCTTTGTATGTACTGGCATTGTCAGTCATCACCTGAACAACCAATTGCTCCCCAATCTCCTTAACAACCCTATCTAGTAAATTGAAAATGAATTCAACATTTTTAACCTCATTTGAAACTTCAACTGATCCTAAAAAAACCGTGTCGTAGGGATTGTTGACAATGATATTAATCAAGCTCCTGCTCTTCATGTTAGACCATCCATCTGACATAATGGTAACACCAGTCTCAATCCATGTCCGTTTAATCTCATCAATGCTCTGCTCTGTGTTATGCAACTCCTTCAAAATCCATGTTCGCAACTCGTACATGGAAGGTGCTTTCAACCCTCTCCCATACAACCCTACAGACTGCAGCATATTAAAGTAGGCCGGCAATGTCGCAACATTAAATGGTATGACATTCTCAAAAAAAAAAAAAAAAACTGTCAATATCCATGCAAACTTACCGTCAACCCTCTCTGGTACCAGCAGCAAACATCATCTGTGCTTGTCTTCAATCCTCTCCTAGATTAGTTATATACTGGTCCATAGGACCCCGTGCACCTTTATTATGTATAGTGGAGGAAGAGCTATTTCTACTCTCGCTTCCGAAGCATCATGTTCGACCATTTCATCAAATTGCTCATGTTGTAAATGTTTGGTCGTCGTACTCTTTTTCATATAAGCTGTAATTTCCTCTTTCACGTTATCCGGAACATTTACACAATGTGCTACATTTTTATGTGAGCCAGATAAGTGTTCCTTCATGCAAGTTACTCCCCCCTTCACCACCTTATCACAAAAATTGCATTTTAAATACACATATGTCTTTTCGCCGTCTCCTACATCAACTTGCACACTATATTTCCAATAAGAGTCACGCCGCAATGACGTATTTGCCTTTTTCTTGCCTCTAACCATGTTTCCTAATGCAAAAATGCGAAAACTAACAAAAAATCTCAAAAAAACCCTAAATTTTCTTTCTCTTGAAAAATTTTTTGTTGAACTAAAAAAAAATACCTAAAATCGTTTGTGGACTTCTCCTAGAGGGCGGCCGGACACTTCAAGCTCGCCGGAGTGAGGCGGCGCCGGCAGGAAGGGAGGCCGAGCGGATGTGCGGAAAAACTTGCGGGCTGCGGGTTTTTTCCCTTCTCGGTTTTGGGTAGGCTGCTATAAGAGGGAGGAAGAAGCCTTATTTCATTTAGATTTAAGTGTATGGGTCCTGGTTATTAGAGGCGTGCGCCTCACACTAAATTGCGTAATTCAGCCTCGGAGGCGCGCCTCACACTGCAAGAGGCGTACGCCTCATGAGGAACCAAAATTGCTTAGGCAATGAGGCGATTTTGCCCAAAATTGCGTAGAGGCGCGCCTCTGATTGCATAATTTTAAACTATGAGTTAAACACACTGATCCTCTATAAGCAAAGGATGATGACATGTAGCAAATACAAGCTCCTACAAGTCATTCTAGGAGACTCCCCATTCATACAGTAATCTACCTATGGGTGATGGCTGGCAATATGCCACTAACACAACAGAGTTTCTTGCAAGCGATGCAACAGGTAATGAACGCAAACACCTATTAACAATGACAGAAGATTTGTTGTATGCACAACACTGATAATCAACAATATGCAATGAATGCTATGAGACCCCTGCAATCAACATCAATTCACTTATAAACAAATACAACAATTCTCTGTGAACTACGATGGTAAGAATGCATGGAGAAGTTGACGATGAATGCATCTACCTAGCATCAATCTGCAAATGAACATATCAACTTGCCTCTAAGCAACAATAGTAGTATACTACAAAGACGAAGGATCCTCTGTAAATATAGAAGCGCAATATGTCATTTACAATTGAAGACCGAAGATCACAGCAAATGCAGGACTACAATAAATGCAATCATCTACGGGTTACTATAGGGGGCTCTTCATACACACAACAAGTTCATGACAAATGTAAATGCCTGCAAGTAACAATAGTGGACATACTGCAGGTGTAGTGGATCCTCTATAAGCATAAGTAAGAAGATCGCAGCAAGCGTGACTCACTACATGCAAGTAAAAGCAACAAGCTTATGGCAAAAGCAAGCATCTATGACCAACTGCGGGGAATTCATCTACACACAACATACATTTCTACAAGAAGTAGAAAACAGATCATCTATAGGCTTCCAAATGAAACCTAGCACATCTTTTAATAACAGTCATTTGTGCAAGCTGATTACCCCTCATGTCTTAAAATATGATTACATGCATGAGCCTCAACGAGTGTGTGGTATGCACACATGCGACGTCTGAGGATGCTGAGTGGGTGAAACAATAAACTTAAGTTCAAGCCCATCCTCCTATGTGAGCAGATAGGAGTCGACACGACTTGAACTATCAAACAAATATACGAGCATGACATTGACCAAAATATTTATTTTAATACGTTCATATTAGACTTTCAAAGTCCATAACAAAGAAATTTAACTAATAGAGGCATCAAGTCTGCAATGAACCCAATCCTTTTTTGGCAAGTATACAGAGTCGACAAGGTTCAATCAAGAAAATGAAAATGCCCATGAAAATTTCGATGATGGCCGTGCTGACAGAAGATTTCAATCGGAGGGGATCTTAAACATTTAAAAATGGCACCCAAATGCCCATAAAAATTCAAAATACCAAAGATACAAAAAATCTAATATATTTAAAATTGAAATAAAACACTAAAGATTTAAAGTAAAATCCATCCGCCTTCCACAATAATTTTTCGAGGTGGACAAATTTAAAAATGTCTTCAGCTCATAAAGAGTAAATGTCTGGCTGAGAATATCACTAGGATTTATTCTCAGATAGTCTCTTGCCAGTAAGGATGTGGCATGCGTCCTCTAACCGATGGTTTCACCACCAAATGGCGCCACAAGTAAACAGTTATGGCTGGGACCCTCTGAACCGGGTGATTTTGTCGTCAAATAGCACCACTAAATTATGGTCATGTTCAGAGCTCGTTTGTTCCCCAATAGCTTCAAATCTTTGAGATATGAATCAATAGGGCACAAAGCCCTCTATTACTCTGTTAGTTAAGGTGGATTCAGATTTGTCCCCTTAGATAAATACTCACCACATGTCTATAAGGTACCCTTAGACGAAGAAACTCATAGTTGCGATAAGGATCCTTTTGTCAGGTTGGGTCGACTACTTCCTCTGACTAAGTAGATTAGGGATCATGATGACCCGGGACGATAGAACCACGGGATCTTGATTGGGTACATCATCATTTCTCCTACTATCCGTTTAAAATACAAGGTGGTAAATTTTTAATTTTAAATATCAAATCATGCTGCTAATATACGCTAGATACTCTGTATCTGTTTGGTGACTAGTCTTAATCAAAAGTTCTCTCTTGTTATCAGGAGAGGTAATTAACTATTAGGGCTTGCGCCTATAGGAAACATGAAAGTCCTCGCAAAATGAGAGCGAAATCTCTGGGTGGTCTTATTCACAATCCAGTCTGCCTTCTAAAAATGCCTAAGAACTTAAGCGTTAAAATTATCCTCGATGGCCCGAAAAAGAAAGAAAGGACCCGTGGAGAGGCCGGGGCACGGATTTTTGGAGCCCACATTCTTCTTAACCTTTTATAACTTAAAAAACTATAATCGAGCTATTTTAGCATGTCGTAAATGCTTTATAGGGCTGCAAATGAACCAAGCGTCACATTCTTCTTAATCTTTTATAACTTAAAAAATTATAATCGAGCTATTTTAGCATGTCGTAAATGCTTGATAGGGTTGCAAATGAATCAAACGTTCGACGAGCTACTCGTGATTCAGCTCGATAAGAGCTCGTTCATGTTCATTTGATAAGGTAAATGAACGAGCTTGAACACTTTTGATAAATACTCGATAGCTAAATAAACGACCTTGAACAACTTGGCGTTTTGTTTGTTTATGTTCATGAACAATATTGTTTAATGCTCGTAAACAATCTCGTTAAGAAGCCCGATTAGAGCTCGACTAAGAAGCACGATTAGAACTATATTAGAAAATTTACTAATTTAATATTTTTTTTTACTAATTTTGTCTAAAATTATTTAATAATTTATTTTATTTCCCGCATTCGCTTAAAATTGCGAACAACCCGTTCTCTAAACGAATATAAGATGAATCATAGATTGTTTATTCATAAATGAGCACATTTGGTAGCTTGAAAATAATAATTAAATATGTTCATGAACGGGTTCATTTGATAGCTTAAGAATACTCATTAGATATGTTCATGAACGGGTTTGTTTAATAGCTTAAAACATTAGTCAGATATGCTCATGACATGCTCGATATAATTGTTTGTTAGATGACTCGATAAGGATCGTTTGTTAAGTTAATGTACATCTGGAAGTAGAGCTCGTTTATAGCTCAATAAGACTCATTTGTTTAAAGTTCGACCAGCACAAAATGAACCGAATATGAACCAAACATGAATCAAACATGATCATCCGTTAATTTAAATGAACCAAACTTGAACACAAACAAAAAAGTTCAAAACAAACTCGAACTGAACTTAAACAAGCTGATAATAAATGAACTTAAATATGAACACGCACATACTCGGGTTAGCTCGGTTCGTTTGCATCCCTAATGCTTGATATGGAAAATGCTTTGTGGCTCAACTTATTGGATAGGTAACATGTGATATATGCATGACACGAGTCATGCATGGAGACCTGTTTTGGGTTATTCTTTGAGAAGTGAAGCATTACTCTGTTTGTATAAACGATGGAACAATTTTCTTGCCGCTTGATATCATTATATTTTGTTGCTCAGGCTGCAAATTATCTGAACATCAAAGGTCTTCTTGACCTTACTTGCCAGACAGTCGCTGACATGATAAAGGGCAAGACACCTGAAGAGATCCGGAAAACCTTCAATATCAAGAATGACTTCACTCCCGAGGAAGAGGAAGAAGTGCGGAGAGAGAACCAGTGGGCCTTTGCCGAGTAATGGGAATCATACTCTTCTTTTGCCTGTTTTGTTTTGTTGACGATGATGATGCAGTCTAATGGCTTGGCTTGAAGAAGGAAGTACTTTTTGTTATAAGTTTTGCCACTTTCTTATGTAAATATGGATGTTTTATCTTTTAGTCGCAAATGCTGTAGACCAATGTCAAGTACAGAACTTGTTTTAAAATTTGTTGTTCTTAACCTACAGAAGCATTTCTTTGTGCTATTTTGTCGGTTAGTTGTGATTGCTGAAATTACTACAGATAAAGACTCAGTAGATGGTTGTTCTATAAAAAAGTTAATCCACATTTGATAATTTAATTCGCATGGAATGATATCAAACTGATATGTCGGATCCCATGTCTGCTTTGGGCAAATAATTTATTTTGCAGTAGCTTTCATTAAACACATCATAAATCATCCAAGTAGTTAACCGAGAAGAAGCTATACTTCAAATATTTATTTAAAACACGATGCGCTGCTGATCATAGAGCAATTTAACTCTTACAATGATCTTTCTTATTCTAATTTTCATTCCCTACTTATTAAATACTAAAAAATACCCAAATTTTAGGCTTTAGTTCAACTGCTTTTAACCACAAAAGGGCTTCTAACCTTATGAGTTCCATCTGACCAAGTAATGGATCCAAAGTAGTCACCTTTCTGTAGAGAACTTGAAGCAGAAAAACTTACTTGGTAGCTCAAGTTTGTTACACTTTTGCTGAACTGTAGCTTATCCGGTAAAACCTCCACGTTCAACTCTGGTGGTGATTTTATGCTAACAACATAGGTAGTAGCTTCTGCACCTCCAACATTCTTCACCACTCGTTTAACTATTCTTCTTTCCTTGAAATCTGAAATCGCAATTGAAGGGTAATTGAGGTTGGAGATCAAATCCTTACTTGAATTTTTTGAGCACTTGAATCCATTTGGAATGACTGTCATGTTCTTGATTATATCTGTTGTGTAACCATAGTTGCAGAGGAATTGCAGGTAGTCATTTTTCTCTGTTTCATACACCAAACCAGGCTGCAATACACTAGAAGGGTTTATTACTCCTGATCCATAATCATATGGTGTTGCAGCAAGACCTGAATCTATTGTTATTGGAGATTTATTGTTGTTTGTTTGCATTGCTGCGAATAGGTGATAGCTTCTTCATCAGTTTCATTGCTCAAAATTTCGGGAGTTGGACCATCTCCTAATTTCTCAAATAGATCCAAATTTAAATTGATGTCACATCAACTGCCACAGTATGCATCAATTGATATGACACCTTAGATTAACAAATTAATACACAATTCCTCAAATTCGACTTCTCATATTTCATATAGGAAAAAATAAGGCATTTCACGTAGATATACGGTATTCCACCTAAATATAAGATATTCCACTTGTAAATAAAAGTTTTTAATTTGGAATATGCTTAGGGCATCTCCAACCGAAAATCCCATTTTTCACTCCAAAATGCAGTGAAGTTAAAAAATGTCTTAATTCATCTCCAATCGAACTCCATTTTGCACCCTTAACCGTTTTTCTCCTCTTTCGCGTGTTTCTTCAGCAAATCCGGTAGAGACAGAAAAATAGCGTGGGTGAATAGTCTGTTCACCCGCAACCAAATAGCGAAAGTTTTACCGTTCGGCTGGAGCTCGCCAGCGACGCCATTTATGCGTTTGGAATTCGGTTGGAGAAGGCCTTAGTGTTTGGTGGAATAGCTTTTTTTTTCTGGAGAAATCGTTTTGTTATTTGAGGGGAATGGGACTAGAGCAGTGGTTAAAATGCCTCTACTGTAATCTATTAGTCCCATGCTCACATCACAGATTTAAGTGTGGATCTATTTGGGAAGTATTAGTGTCAAATAAAACTTTCTAACCTGTTGTCATGATTGCTGATCTTATGGCTGCTGGACTCCAAGTTGGATTCCATGATTTGATGATTGCAGCAATCCCTGCAACATGAGGGCAAGCCATGGAGGTTCCAGAAACAAGATTAAAGTGTGAGGGCTTATGGCCAGATGGCCCCACATTGTTGTCTTTATTTTGTGTCCATGAAGCTAGTATGTTCACTCCTGGAGCACTAATGTCAGGCTGCAGCTCAAAAACACTTAAAAGTGAGCTCAGCAAAGCAAGTTATCACTTGAAAATTGAAATCTAATTCTACTTTCAAAACTTTCTTGCCTTGACAATATTGCTTGTTTCAGGAGAAGGCCCTCTTGATGAAAAATAGGCCACTTCTGGTGCCGGCTTATACTTTGGAACCGTGATCGAAGGAAGAATTGTAGCCACTGGGTTTCTTCAAGTCAAAAAGACAAGTAAGTTAGCTCACTCTAGATACAAGAGGTTAAAAAAAATTTTGTAGCTTGTTTTAAGCTTTTTTACTTTGTGGAATTGATATACTTCATGATCTGGATAGATGCTTCTGTGGTAACCTCGGTGACAGGAAAGTCGATATATAATGTGGGAACAGATTTTCCCAAATCATTGACAAAAATAGCGCCTATCGCTCCATTGTTTTTTATATCTTCGGCTTTCGTACCGGTCGAGTAATCATTATCTGATTGCTTACAAATGACAATCTTTCCTTTGATCTTTGTCCCATTTAGTGTGTCAAGATAACAGTGGCTTGATTGTAGTTCAATGATATGATCAGAATAAGTAATATTTGAAGGACTAATATATGAATTCCAATATTAAAAATCATATTAGAGATAGCTACCTTGCATCATCAGCAGAGCTTGAATTTGATCTTGCTGAGGCAGCATAGATGAGGGGATAAGTTGCAGACTTTGTTAGATTAGAAAAGTTTATAGCTTCACCCTGAAATCAAAGCCTAAGAGCCATGAACATAAGGACCAACTTCAAGAATGAAATCACATTTTGATAAAAATTGTCTCTACTTCTTGAAATCAAAACCTCTAAATGAGATGTTCAAATGTGTCCGGAGGTCAATTCGGATGCACCACATCATCTAATGCACTATCCGGAGACGTCCAAACACCGCACGTAATATTTTTTCATGGGGAAGGGGAGGGAGACAGAGAGAAAAGATACCTTTACTGCCTTACTATTCCCGCCCAAAACAACATCAGATTCAAAATACCGGTCAATAGTTGTCGCACCGACGGTGAGAATCCAAGGTGCAGTATTCACAATAGATCCAACGTCAGGTCCATCATTCCCAGCTGAACACACAACTGTAATCCCCTTTTCAACAGCATGAAAGGCTCCAATGGCAATTGGATCAGTCGAAAAATCGGGACGAAGAAATATGGATGCTCCGATCGAAATCGACAAGAGATCGACTCCATCTGCAATTGCATCATCGAATGCGGATAGCATTGCTGAGCCTGGACACCCATCTATTCCACAGACTTTGTACATGGCAATTCTTGAAGAAATAGATCCACCTTTTGCAGTCCCATCAGCTAAGCCATAGAAGGAAGCTTCCTTTATTGGATTTCCTGCTGCAGTAGAAGAGGTATGGGTGCCATGACCAAGATCATCTCTTGGGGAGTTTACATCAGTTGGAAGAACATTGACAGAAGAAGAGTCATCATCATCAATATCATAATGTCTTGCTCCAATAATCTTCCTGCGTGAAAATCAATATCATGGTTGATTATTTTCACTCACAAATATGTGCAAAATACTATTATCAATAATGATTAAAGTTGATATTAAAAATTGTTGTTGAATTTGTTGTTCTTCGTGGCGTCCCCTCTACATAAGCTATTTTAGCTATGCCACTAATCCTGAGGGTATCTCCAACCAAAAATCCTATTTTTCACTCTAAAATGCTGTAGAACTTCAAAATGCAGCAGTTCTCTCCAATGGAACTTCATTTTTCTTTTTTAGCGTGTATTTTGCGAATGTAACCATCTCTCTCCTATTTCGCGCGCTTCCTGCGAAGCTAAGCAGAGTGCGAAGGTAATCACTTTTTTTTTTGGCGTAGGTGAACAATTCGATGCCGGCATCGCAATATTCACCTATCGATTTTTGGCGTGAGATTTGGAGTTCGAATGCAACGATTTGCAGACTGCATACAATGGTATGCAGTTCGGTTGGAGATGATATGAAGTAATAGTGGAGGCATACAAGCAATATAGTATTTTCCATCATTTTTTTTCACACAAATTGAAATTATTGTATGTAACTCTTTTATAAGCCTATTTTGTTGGGTGAAATTTTTTGTGTTCTTACCGCTATCAAAGTTTGATGTAATTGTCCTATATTATTTGAAAATGTCATTATCAATTGTGATTCTTAAAATTTAAATTCAATCTTATTGTTAGGACTTAATTAGCCAGACTTTATAATAATGATTAAGAAAAGTTCCTGCAATTTATCAAAGATAGGCTACATAAAGCTTAAAATTTAGCTCACTTGTTACAGTTAGAAGAATCGAAGTCATCCCCTTTCATGCAAGTTCCTTTCCAACGGCTAGGAATAGGACCCATTCCATTATCGCTGAAGCTTTCAGATTCTGGCCAGATTCCTGCAACTTTTTATTGTTAAAAGGGCAAAATTTACCATTTATGTCCCCTTCTAAAACCTTACAAGCTTCCATGAGTAAAGCTTGCCTGTGTCCAATAGCCCAATGATGGTATCCGACCCACCAGAGGTGGGAGATGAGCCAGCTTCAGTGGTTGGGTTCAAGTCGGTCTCGACCGATGTTTCTTCCAAGAAGTCCCATGACCTTGTGGTGTGTAACTGATAAATTGGGTCTACAAAGACTGAGATAACACCAGCTTTCTTGCTAATGGCATCAGCCTCGTTCTTCGATAGCCTTGCGGCGAATCCGGAGAAGCTGCGTTTGTAGCGACGTAGAAGATACTTCTCAACAGGTTGTCCCCTGTCACCATTTCAAGTTGAATCAGTCTAAGGATTAATTATTCTGTGCGGATGCTAAACGCCGTCTGGAGACTAATCATAATGCACCACGTCACTTCTTTGCTGTGTACCACGGTTCGGTATCGCTGACGTGGCTACAGCTGATTCGTCTCTGGACGTAAAGATGCGTTCGGCCCTCCGCACAGTCTAATGGCTTATTTGATTGCTTGGAGATAGATAATATGTATTTTTTTGTTGTTTATAAGAAAGTTGTTGTCTATTTTTTCTTAAAGGATATATTTATAATACATATAGTAATTTTTTAAAAATTATTTTCCTAATAACATCTTCATAACCATTTTTATAAAAAAATTATAGCCACTCAAAATAAATCCTAAGCCACTTTAATAAAATCACTCCCTCTAAAACACTTCCACTTTATTTTCATATAATGTTTACTAATTTAAAAATTTTATTTTATGACCATGAGTTGCTTGATATTATTTTTATAAAGTGGGCAATATCTCCTTTATAAAAAAATACTTTTTTTTAGAAAGGCATTAGTAGTATGGTTATCTCTTAATCTAATTAATTTCATATTTAATACCTCCAATTGAATATAAGAAATACAATTATGAAATGGAACTTTCATGAAATAAGCGCGTTCTAAAAAGTGATTGGAAGAGTGATACATTAAATGATTCTTAGTTGAAAAATTTTTGGTTTTAGTAAGGATAAGGTAGTGAGGATAAAAAGAAGAGGAAATAGGGAAGGCAGCAAAGAATAGCAATGGTGTAGAAGTCATGGTTGAAATTAAGGCTTCGCTTAGGAATTATGACTGCTTTCGTACTACTTTCTAAAATAATTTTTTAGTATAAAAATTTTTAATTCAAGAAATTTTTGTACTAAAAACTATTTTATAAAGCAAAAAATAGGTGTCCCAAACGAAGCCTAAGTAGGGGGAGATGAGAGAAATGTATTAACTCTACAACATGGGATGTTGTGCCTTTTGTCATGCTATGCTAGGCTTTACCATGCTTTGTCTCTCTTGTTGGAGATGCAACTACTCAAAATGTTCAACCTTTATTTTAATATTGAATTATGGGTTTATTATTTTTAAGCTCAAAAAAGCATGAACATGTGAAAGGGATTCAAAGCATCAGCGCAATTTTGTCAATTTGGTATCTCTCTCTCTCTCTCGGCAAATTATTGCGTCCGGTCACCTGACATGCGGACAGCCAATCCAGAGACGCCATCTCACCCGGATGCACTGGGCTCCAGTATTTTTGAGTGACGTGGCGTGCTTTTATTGGTGTCCGGACGAATCCAAACATTGGACACAATAATTTGCCCTCTCTCTCTCTCTCTAAACGTATAGTTATATTTGTATATGATAAGACTATAACGCAGAACCTTGTAGTTGAAAATAAGAGTCTGTTTGGAATGATTGTAGCATTTTATAAAATAAGTTGTGAAGTTGCTACGAAGAAAGTCAATCGGCTACTCTGGTTGCAAAATAAACAGCTTTCCACCATAGAAAATTTTGAGAAAATAGTAGCTCGATAAAATTATAGTTGTTGCTGGAAAGCAAAGCAGTAAGAAAACTATCTCAAACAAAACCTAAAGCATCTAATCACTAAGTCAAGATTATTATCCTTGTGATGGCGAAAGCTCAAAACCCAAAGTAGTTCAAAAGAAAAAAATTGTCGTCAATTAATGAAGATAAAAATAACTTATAAATGAAAAAAAAAAAATGAACTAAAGCAAAATGCCTAAAGTTGAAATTGTCAATGCATGGTCTAGCAACAAAAAAAAATAAGAACAAATGAATTTATTCTACATCGAAATCACTCTAATATCTAAAACACATCAAAATATATACATAAAAAGTTAAAATTTTCTTTAAATAAGTTAATGTTAGTGGTTCTTTTGATAAATTTAAAGATTAAAACATTATATAAATAAATATAAAGATTTAGATGTTAAAAACACACGTGACCAATGGCATTTATGTAAATTCTATAACTGAAAACCATTTTATATGAACAAAATAAATCTTGAAAGAATTGAAGCAAGAAGCTAGATTTGGTTTTCTTTGAGAGTATTCTCAGATGTCTGTGAAGGAATTACAGCCCCCATATAAACCACATAAACTTCTCCTCTCTCTTATTTTCTTCATTCTCATTTATATCATTGAAATTTGCTTTAAATTATATTTATTTAACAAAAAAGAAGAAGATGAATGCATAATAAAATTAAAAAGAATTAATGTAAGAATGATCATATTAGAGAAGCATTTAAGAAAAATCTACTCAAAATGAGATAATTAAAAATAAATTTAAATCATTTAGCATATATAACAAATATTAATAAATGCACCAAACAGACAAATGCATAAAATTACTATCAGAGGATCATAAAGTAGACTGCATAAAACTAAGAAAACATTAAACAAAATTATTAAGAATAGATTTAGGCTTCGTTTGGGACGGCTTTCTTCTTGCTTCATAAAGCTGCTTTCTAGTACAAAAATTAAAATTTTTATACAAAAAAATCGCTTTAAGAAGCAGTAAGAAAGCCGTCCCAAATAAAGCCTTAGATTTCGTTTAGGACAGTTTTTTTTACAGCTTTCTGCTTCAGAAAATAATAAAAAGATTATCGAATCATTTCTATATGAAAAAGTTAAACCTTGGAAGTATAGAAGAAAGAAGCTGAACGTGATTTTCTTTAAGAGTATTATCAGATGCCTGTGATTGAATAGCTCCCATATAAACCACATAAACCTCTCTTTTATCTCCTTCCTGCCCATTTACTCCAACAAGGAGAAGAAGGCAAAGGAGAAATGAAAGGTAAATAATAACTGAAAAACCTCTCATTTTTCTTTGAAGTTTAATTGATCGATTGAGTTAGCTCTCTTCATTCCCAGCAACATATATATATAAATAGAGAGAGAGAGAAAGATTTTAGTGGGGGCGAATTATTATATCCGGTCACTGGACGTCCGGACATCCAATCCAGATGCGCCACGTCACCCAAATACACTGGGACCCGGTATATTTTGGTGACGTGACACGTCTGGATTGGTGTCCGGATCAGACGCGCCACGTCACCCAAATACACTGGGACCCGATATATTTTGGTGACGTGACATGTTTGAATTGGTGTCCGGACGAATCCGGACAACGAACGTAATAATTTGCATTTAGTGGGAAGGTGAAAAGATTGGCTTCTTCGGTGGAATATCTGCTTATCCGCACTGGCAGCCATTCCTGTGAAAGTGCGCCACTGTTCTTTTTTCGGCCTATCATTAGTTTCAATGCAATTTTTAGGCCACTTTTTCTTGAATTATATTTTGCTTAGTAGCTCAATGGTTTGCTTGTTCATAGAAAATATTTTTAAAAATAATTAAAATGTGCTTTAATTTTATTTTTTATTTCAAAATTAAGTTTTCTATTTTTAAGCAACTAAATGAATTCTCAAGAAGGTTAGTTAAAAATTGGACAAAGTTCAAAACTTCTTTTTTTTTTTTAATTAGAATGCATATAGGCTTCGTTTTGAAAAACTTCTTATTACTTTCTGAAGTAGTTTTCTAGTAAAAAAATTTTGCTTCAAAAAATCTTTATACAAAAAAATTATTTTAGAAAGCAGCTGCCCAAATAAAACCTTAAACAAATCATATCTCAATTTAATTTTTGACATGAATGTATGTATAAAATTACTCCCTTTATGAAATTTCATTCACATGATTTTCATATAATTTTTATATGACTTAGGATCCATTTGGGACGGTTGCATTTTCTTATAAAAGTAATTTTAAAATTGCTTTGGAGAAAGCAGCTTTCTAATACAAAAAAAAGAGTATTAAAAGCAGTGAAAAAGCAACGGCCAAACAAAAAATTATGATTGAGATCTGAAAAACTAAGCAATAAGAAAATTGTCCCAAATGAAACCATAATAAAAATTTTTATAAAATGATGAATTGATTGATACTATTTATAAAAAGTGGGCATTATCTTGTTTATAAAGTTTTTTTAATTTCTTTTAGAATTGCATTAATACTCAGCTTGCTTTATATCTAATTAATTTGATTTTTAACCTCCAATTGAGTGCAAACAATCCAATTATGAAAAGAATCTCGCATGAATTAAGCATGCCCTGAAAAATGATTGGAAGATTGGTGTATTAATTGATTCTTAGTTGAAAATAAGTTAGCCTTAGTAAAAAAGATAAGATAGTGGGAGTGAAGAGGAGGGAGATAGGGAAGGCAAAGAACAGTAGTTCTAGTGGAGAAGTCAAGGCCAGAATTAAGTGGGAGAAGGTGCAGAAAAATGTGACAACTTTGCTATATCAGATACTGTGACATTTTTCAACTTAATTAAACTCCACATGGCTTGCCTCTCTTATTGCAGATGCAACTATTCAAATTTGGCAGCCTTCATTGGGAACTTAAAAGTAATTAATATGGATTTATGGACTTGAATTATTTTTAAGCTTAAAAAAAATATGAAGATTTCAAGAGGGTTGATTGAGCTTTGTCGTTTATGACTTATTCTTTTGCTAGCATTTTATCCACAAAAAATTTATAACACCAACTCATGTGACTGTTGATCCGTACACATCAAACCATACGTAAAATGAGTAAAACCGGCGAATCAAGCAACACGCTCGTCGCATCGATGTGCCATGCGGCACATCACTTGAATGGTCAAATGGCCTCCAACTGTCAAATGGACAACACCATTGCAATTAGGACATCGAGTTCACATAAGAGCACCCATGACAATTAAATCAGAAGACCGGTTCAAAGTGATGACAGACACCCGAAATTGAAATGCGAAGTCGCCTAAACAACGTCCAATCGCAAAACGAATTTCGTTGTTGCGTCCAGAACGCTGTCAACACCTAAAAAATTAATGTCAATCTATTCAATTGGGGGTCGTCCGATGCAACGACCCGAATTATGAGGTGACGACTCGCAAATCGAGGAAAATGACATACGTCATCTCTCAAATGACATCCGATCGCAAAACGTACTTGGCAGTTGTGTTCATAACATCATCAATACCCAAAAGTGACAGTCAATTTGAGCAATTAAAAATCATGTAAAAAGATCTACAAGCATCTCAAAGCAACGCATGCAAATCGAGGAAATTGGAGTGCAATGTTGTCCAAACAACGTCCGATCGTAAAACAAACTTTGTCGTTGCGTTTGGAACGTTGTTAATACTCAAAAATCATTGTTAATTTGCTCAATCACTGGTCTCGAGGCAACAATGCACAAGTCGAAGAATTGACACGCGGTAATACTCAAATGGCGTCCAATCGCAAAACATACTTCAACATTGAGTTCAGAACGTCGACATTATCCAAAATCAATCTTAATTTTGCCTAAAAACAATCACACACACAAATCGGCGCGGGTTCCGATACAATTGCTCATCGATTACTCATTATTATTATTGATACTATAGCTTACATTACACTAATATTGTTTATTGTCAATACTATTATTATTGTTGATACTGAGACTATTTAATATTACTAATATTGTAACTAACATTGACATGGATTTTTGTTATTGGTATGAATTGTTGTTACTGACACAATTACTGATGATATAATAGACTAAGATTTGATGTGTTATAAACTAAATTGGTAGAGATAACTGATGTAGATTTTGATGCATATATTTTTTTATCTAACTTACAACATAATATTTCTCTTTTCATTGCATTGATTTTAATTATTAGATTTTAATTACTACTAGGCATTTATGCTCATTATATGATTTTATGTCTTCAAAAAAGGATAAGGACCCTACAATGTGGGACTTTGAATATCATGTTTTTTTGTGGTACTTGTAGTTCATTTTGTAGTCATGATGTAGTTATAATAATGTAATTAATCTTTTGTATTATGACTATTGTATACATAATATTTTGAGCTTTTATTAAATATACATATTGATGAATATGCAATTAAATTTCTTTCCGTTATATATATGAAATGTGTAATATCTAAATCAAAGAAAAGAAAGTAAGATAAATACATTTCTTCTAGCATAGATTCTGCGGCGTGACACTTTAGTTTTTTAGTTATTCTCTAATGTTTCTTTAATCTTTTCTTTTTTCATGCTGACAATAGCATGGATTGAAACTAGTGACCAGAAGAAAGGAACTTCTCGAAGAGCAATAGAACAAATAACCACCCATGAACATGGATGCCCTCAACTACACCACTCATCACGACCTCATGAAGATGGAGGAGAGACTTATAAAGATGATACAAGATGCACCAAGAGTATCATCGAGGCATGCACTACGCGAGAGTACACCAAAGGGATACCCTAACTCGGCCATTCATCATAAAGGTAAGAAACTTGGGCGCTCACTTCAACACCCATTGTGAATACCACTCGTATCGTCACCAAGGACGAAGAGTATAATTATGCTCCACAACTAGTTAGAAGACATCCCAATCTAACTAATATTTCCTCTAAGGAGATAACAAAGGTGAGGCCACTTCCAAAGTTCTTGATGCCTATAGCCTAGAGTCCTACATAGGAAGGATTGACCCGAATATGACTCGAAATGGATAAAAAAACTAAGTATGATCCCAATATTAGGCTCAATTGCTTAGCTCACTTACTAAGTATGATCCCAAAACTACTTTAAGAAGCAATAAGAAAGCCGTCCCAAACGAAGCCTATAGATGTAACAACGAAGGATGACGATGTACCGCAAAAAAACAAACTACCAAAAGCTTGCACATAATAATCAAACTCTCCTTGACAAATTTTAAATTGAAGGATACAAAATAGGAAAAACAGCAAGTCTAATGAAAACATAGAAATTAGATTCAGATGGCCGCATACATCAAATATTTATGCATAGGAGCCAACTCATCTGATGTCTGGGACAAGCCAAAGAGCAAACTATAAGTATTGACTACAGCAGAGGGAGAGAAAAGGGAACACATCAAAGCTTATGTTTCCCACCACAATTCGTTAATGCTGCTGTTAGTTAAATATACACCTAAGAAATTTTGTCCAAACTCTGCGGGTTGGCTGAGATTTTTACTCCTTCCATCTTCATAAAATGGAGCAAGCTTTCTGTGATCTTCTCTTCTTCTTCTTCTTGTGCTTTGGTGGCAGGAGAACCACTTTAATGGCAGCATCAAAGACCGCCTTGACATTCTGTGCCAGATACTAAGACTAAATGCCGATTCTTTTGCTTTTATTGGGGGATAAAATCCTGAATTAAGAATAATAGACATACCTGTTGTGTCTTTGAGCTGCATTCGACATAGGCAAGAGCGCCTATTTGCTTCCTAAGCTCTTCTCCCTATATATATATCATTAAATAGAAAATGATTTAGCATTATTTGTATGATGAGGACATTTTCGTAACATTGCCGTTAGCCTCACCTGTGCAGAACTAATAGCCACAGCACCCGGGTGGTCGATAAAGAACTGGTTATCATCCCGAAGATCTAAAAAAAAATTAAAAAATTTATGCACATAGTGATAGAGGTAATATAGCATAATCTAGCAAGTATAATATCAATATATCATTACCAAAATGTGCTGAAAACCAAGTCATCAAATAGTGTGTGTGTGTGTGTATTTATAGCAGCATAGGAAAAAGCATAATTTTCAGCACTTATGAGTTGGGCTGATAGGAGTAGATGAATAACAATCGATCCAAAAAAGTTACTTAAAAGGTAAAGATCCATCTACTACATAAAGGTAAAAAGGTTTTAATTCCATGTTTCAAAAATATTCCCCTCACATGAGACTCCTCTTCATCAATCATCCCTCTCAAGTGTAAAGCTTTATTCAAAATTAGGAGAGACTTGTTGAATGATTATATCATAGATATTGTGAGATTTTTGAAGATGGTGAAAAAATAAATCTTAAAGGATTAGAAAGGTAGAGAGAGAATCAAAGATAACATTTTCGGAAGTTGTGTAATAAAATCTTTACTAAATGGGGTTAACACATCTTTCAACACTTGAGATGAATAAATGTCGAATGATGAGTCATTAAGCCAAACCTAAATAGTTAGGATGAGACTAACAATCATGCTGATGATGAGTCTGATGGTCATCTCTCATGGTTCATCAAGATCTTGATCTATAAAGTTTGACTTAGTTGAATGGTTTTTTTCATGAATGAGATTCGATGGCAAACATCCATCTTAACGTTCTAACATTTAACAAACTAATCTAAACTATCGAACTATATAAAAAAAACTAGAAACCAGCCGAATTATCAACTTTGAATAACTCTTGTTAAGGGTGGAGCACCAGGTCCCGAGTTGTTGGGCTCACTACATGGTGGATGGAAACTTATAAAGTAAAAAGATTAAGCCTTACATAAGGGCCGCTGCCAATATAAAAATACCAACTCCTTATTTTAAGAAAGTGTGGCAGCTCAAAAAGTCTCAACTACTCTCGTTTCTATCCAAACGTCAGTTTTACAACAGCTAGTTGGTGTGGTATTATCGCCATTAATGTAACCCAATATAACAGGACCCAAAAACAAACATACATATCAATGTGACCGATCTTTCAAGAAAACAAAAACCCTATGTGCAATTAAGATATTAATGGAATGCGAAGGAATGAATAAATACAATGAGCTAGTCTAATCATTTCTATAAAATAATTAAGAAAAATGATGACAAGGCATGCATTTTCCTTTCCACAAGTGTAAAAAATGAGGAGATCAAGATTGTGAAAATCGGACCAGACATAAAACCGGAAGGAGAGGTTTTGGTTTAATGGTTCGACCCGGGTTGAACCGGATGATGTAATAAGTATGAAACTAATTTAAATAAAACTAAAATGATAGAATAATCATGTAAATTTTTAATTAAGAAATAAATTGAATTCACACATTAATAATATCTTATGTAATTTCAAATTTAATTCATTTTTTTAAAACTTTAACTTACATATAAATTTATAAATTTAATCTAAATTATTATTTATTTATGTTATATGTTTAGATATAATTTACACCTATAAATTATATATTAAATTCATATTATAAATTTACATTTATAAATTATTATGGTTAGATCATTTATTTTTTATATAGTTTATTTAACTATTTAAATAATTCAAAAATTGAACCGGCCAGTTCAAGAGAATAAGGACCGATTCACAGATTGAATCGGCGGTTATGTCCGGTTCAGCTCGGTTTGATATAGAAAACGATTTTCAATATGAACCAGGCTGGCCTTAAAGACCGGTTCACGGTTAAACCAGTTTGACTAACAAATCTGGTCCGATTTTTAAAACCATGGAGGATATTGCTTACCTAAAGGCAAATTCCATTTTTAACAATGTTCCCTCCAAATGAAGATTAAAGTAAGACCATCTCATTTATCAGAAGGTTTTCATGAAATTCTGAACCTAAACAAATTGTAAATTGCAGTTCATTCTCATCATGTGCATACCACATTGGATAATCAAAAAATGTCACGCCATCCCAGGATTGATATTGGCGTTGGCATGGCTTTATGCAACATCCATTTAAAGATTTCCAATGTTACTTAACCTACATCGTACTGACACTTTCAGGCTCCTCGCATTTAAGGTCATGACAGGGGAATGGAATGCACGACAACTTGGGTGATCCAACCAACCTAAAGAAACCCTGCTGTCATTCCGAGTGTATACGCTATACAGTTTAGCAAGTTATCAACATTCACATACCATGTAACTTACATGGCTTCCTTCATGACCACTTTCTATTCCAACAACACTCCAGTCAGCATCACGTATAACACCAAGAACACAAGGCTCTATATGATTAGCAATCTACGCAAACATATTGTTCACCTACAAATGTGTAAAGAGGCAATATAAACTAGACTCGGTCAAAATTGACGTTGATGCTAGTTGTTGAACATAAAATCACAAGAAGTGAATTAAATGCTTCGATCGTAATTGTAATCACTAGGCACGGTCGCCGGCTTCATGAAATAGATTTCGTTTGTGTGTTTAGAGCACTTAAAATATCTAAAAAATAATTCTTATATCACTAAATAACTAATTTGAGTAGATGTGACCAGAGCAACGTGACATCTTATAAATTGAGTTTGAAACACCTTGATCCCAATCAAAGTCGCTCTAAGTCACCCGTTTGTGAAACGGATTGTATCAACATGTCTGAAACATTGAATTTAACAATAAAATACCTCTCACGCACTCTTCAACCAAACACAACGAAGATATTAAAAAACAGATGCAACATCGTACAAAAAGTTACTTGAATGTTGCTCATTCGCAAAACAAACCGTACAGATGTGTTCGGAATATCAAAGTTGCTTGAAAAGCGCACCCATTGCTTTGGTTGTCACACGAAGACAAAATGCAAAATTTTCCCAGAGCATGATGGCAGCATGCATTTCGGGACGCATGAGAAACAAGGAACCGCACAAAAATACATACACCCCTTTTTAATTAAGTAATTTATTATTATTACTTCAAGAATTTATTTTAAAAAAATAAAATAAAATAATCAAATAAATTGAATACATCATCCCACCCTCACATGCCAAAAGCCCAAATATCTTGAACTCGTACATTGCCACAGTGGTGTCCCATCTCCTTCCTGGTTATATATAAACCTAAAAGTCTAAAACACTTGTACAAGCCCTTCCCCACTCCCTCCATCTCCTCTCATTTTCACACAAACCTGCAAGTTGCCACAATCCCTCATCTCTTCTCGGTTTCACACAAACCCGCGCTTGCTCCACTCTCCCACTCTACTCATCCCTTCAATCAGCGCCAATGCCAGCCCTAGTAGCGTCGAACCCACACTCTTGCCTTCCTCTCTTCTCTCCCTCTTTTCCTCTCCATCCCTCTTTTCTAAATAGATAGAACATCTCTCTAAGCCTCTCTTTCTCCACTCTAACCCACCCTCTCACTCGGCTCTCTACCTCACCCTTCCTCTCTAAATAGAGAAAACAAAAAAGCCATCCCTCTCTGTGTGCATGTGAGTGAATTAGAGCAAAAAAAAATGGAAAGTAAATAAAACGAGAAAAAGATTCCACAAAGAAAATAAAAGAAAATTAAAAATATGTATAATACGAAAATCTCAAAATTAAATACTCATGCATGTTGTTCTAACGAGAAGACAAAATTTGCAAATTAAATACTTGCGTGCTATTTTATTGTGTCAGGCAAATTCTGCATATTCTCAATCTATGTGCGCTTTTTTAAGCACAAAGGAATAGAGCCATCGACGGCAGACCGCAATGTCTCTTAACACCCATGAAACGTTTTTTTAAGCATGTTGTGAATGCTAGGCACGCCTTAAAAACACATCTTATGTTGAAAGACTACTGAAATTTACACTCAAACCGAACAAAAACATAACAAAATAAAATAATTTTTAGGAGGTAAATGCAACAAAATAAACAAAATACAAAACTGCTTAAATTATAAGACGAGCAAAATTATAAACTATGAACAAAATATTGGGTAGTGAATTGAAGACAAGAACTTATAGGGCACTTGTAATGAACATTGCATCTCTTTAAGGAGCACAAACAGAATCTCCACTATACTCATAACATTCAAAAAAATCTCTAGAATGTTTGTAAGCAAATGAGAAACCCATGTGAATTCAAAATGAATTACAACACCCCCTCATATTTCTAGGAGGATAATTCCCCGTGGGGCTTGTCACACTAAAATCTAAACATATTAAAACAATGGAAAAGGATAATATGAAAAACTTCTAAAAAATTTATCTTGCCTTCCACGATACTGGATCCAAACAAGTACACACAAGCATACAAAAGGTATTATTTAAAAATTTAAAAATGAAACTTGGTGCATATTTTAACAACAAATATTCACGCATACATGTAACTGCCTCAAGAATGATGTAGATACTTAGAGAAGCATGACATTATTCTAAAAGCACACAAATGCATCATGTAAAAGCATCGAAGAGCATGTAAAGGCAAAGTGCAGATACACCAAAAAGCGTATAAATGCACCAGAAATGTGAAATTCAATAAAAATCATGCAAATGCATTATGTAGACGCATCGATAAACACACAAGTACATTGAAAAATGTACAAGTACAATGTACAAATATATCAAAAAATATGCATCTCACAGCTAGCATGTTATCCAAAAGAGAGGTCAAATTGTCAAAATTGCTCTGATAAAATTGCTAAATGTTCAAACATAAAATGTGATAATATTGTGAGGGATAAGAACAAGTTGAACTAACATTCTCTAGTTTTAAAAAATATGCAATTACTCTACAAATATTATAATCATTTTAAAATTTATAAACTTATTCATATGAGCTTGGACAAATGTATTAAACATAAAACCAAAGAATGTTGCACAAACTTAAAAAAAAAATTTGATTCTTCCCGCTCGAAAAATCATGTAACCCTTTTTGAAAATGAGCAACTATTTTGAAAATTCGCAACCTATCTTATAAGTACAAATTCAAGTTCTTATTTCACACAATATTCTTGAGTGGCCCGCCTAGCTTATAAGATGAGGCCGTAATCCCCATATTTCAAGTTTGGTCCTCATTCTTGCAAGACCTAGAATTGACAAGACTTAAACCCCAAAGATAATCATGTTAACAATGACTCTCAACTAGAGGAAAATTTTATTCTCAAAATATCCCCAAATCCCAATACAAATTATTTGTCTTTAATCTAAAAATAATAATAATTAAAATATCAAAATTTATAAACCGTGAAAAAGCACAAGTGCAATCTAACCCCTATAACAAAATTCATCCACCCTCTACAACATTTTATTAAGAGTGTTAAATTTAAGATTAATCTCTACTCATAAAGAGCCAATATCTTATAAAGTGTATTGCTATATTTATTCTCAAAAGATCTCTCTTCAACAAGGATGTGACATATGTTCTCTAATAAATAGTTTTGTCGTCAAATGACAACACAGGCAAACGATTATGATTGGGACCTATGATTTCACTGCAAAATGGTAGAATTTGCAAATTCCCTGATAGCAAATTCCCTGATAGCTTAAAAATCCTTAAGTTGTAAATAATAGGGTGCTCTTGATAGGGCACAAAACTCTTTGTTAGTTAAGGTCAACTTAAACTTATTCTCTTAGACAAACATCCACGTTATGTCTAAAAAATACCTTAAAATAATGCAAACTATGGCTACCGATAAAGATCCTTCGATCAAATCAGGTCATTATCTCTACTAAGTAGGCAATAGTACATGATAACGAAAATGAAGGTACTAAAGGATCTTAATCGGGTTCTTGATCATCTCTCCCCTCCCCCCCCCCCAAACATCCACTTTAAGTTCCAGGCGGTAAATTTCAAATCCTAAATCAAATTACTACTCTTATAAACTAAGCATTTAGGTTCTAACGACTAGCCTTAATCAAAAATACTCTCATCATTAGGAGTGATAATTAACCATAAGGACTTACACCTATAAGAAGCCAAGAACCACACCTTAAAGCCCTCCCAAAATGAGAGTAAATCTTTGGATAGTGCTTTGTTTTAAATCTAATCTACCTTGTAAAAATTTAATCTGAAACAACAAAACTCTCACAATAGAGCTCGGGCGTAGATTTTTGGAGCCCACAAATGTGACACAACCTTTGACAATTTTTTTCCAAATGAATGTAATGCATAAGATAACACCTATTGATACATGATTGTGCCAAAACCTAACAATTTTGGCACCAAAATTTTCTTCTGTCCAATGTAAGAATATCCTCATCATGATAGGCTAAAACGCATTGCATGCAAGACAAAACATTATTCAGATGATTGCAAGAATATAAAATTGTTTTATTAACCAAAGCCAATACTCAGTAATGACAAAGGCAAAATGCTCGAATATTGAAAGAATGAAAGAAGTGGATTCTAAATCCTGCATTTTCACTCACATAGTTGGATGTGAAGACTGGTTTTACACTAAATTTCATTGACGAGCACTTAACCATTAGCAACTACCTTGCATGAAGCAATATTTTAAATACCAGAGATAAGAACTCTAGCTGCTGTCTATAAAAAAATAAATATGAGAATATAGAATCATCAAAATCAAGATAGCAAGCTCACAAACATGAAGGAATCACCATGCTCCTCATCGTAAGTCTTAATCCCAACTACTCGGGGTAGCTTTGTGAATCATCATTGTCGATTCTCTCACATTTATCCTTGTATAAGATGTCAAACAAATTTTGTAAAGTACAAAAGTCTAACCAGGCGATGGTTGGACTGCCTGCTTTTCTTTGTAATCCCTCAACAATAATTTTATTTAACTTGTTTTTCTTTAAAATTCTCTCGGATAAAATTTATCTATTACTTTATTCCTACTGGAGTATCAGCTACCTATATTATATATGTTCAAACCATCAATGTATGTTTGCAACGACCTTACATTCAATAGATAATGATCTCACCATCCACCTAATATAATCATTTCTTGATATACCTTCATAATTTTAACACACATCAATCTTAACATTCTTATTTCTATCAAACTAAATTAAACTGTCACAAAGAATGAAGATAGATAAGCCATATGCATCATTAAAAAAATAATTTAAACTACAACTTTTATAACTAAAAAAAGAATCAATAAATGCCTTATCATTTAGATTTTCATTAAATCCGAGCAACATACAAGAACAAAATACTTAATTGCCGTTAAGCAATGATTCACTAAACAACATACAAGAACAAACTACCAACTAAATTGATGCTAAACACTGATTCACCGCACCTCAAAATTAAACCACTAGTGCTGATGTAGAAAGATCAAGGACCTAGAGTTCTTAATGCAACTAAAATAACACAATGAATACATCAAAAACAACAATAACAACAAGCCTTTATCTCACTAGGTGAGCTCGGCCACATAAATCCTTTTTCACCATTGTGTCCTAATAAAACAGGTCATTTTTCAATACTTTCTAATTAAGTCATTTTTAAGTCTACCCTTACCTTTCTTAACATAGACAGACTCTAATACATCTACTCTCCTAACCAAATCATCAGAAAGCCAAAACTTTATGTGACCAAAGCATATAAGGCAACTCTCTCTAATCTTATCTTCCAATTGATTTAATCCAACATTTTCACGTATGCACTTGTTTTGTATTGTCTCTAAGTGTAAAGTCACTCATCCACATGAGCATCCTCATCTTTACAACACTTAACTTAATTTTATGCTTCTCTTTTAATAGCCAACATCATGCGCCATAAAACATCGCAGGTCCCACCACCATCTTATTAAATTTTCTCTTAAGTTTGAGGGATGTTTTTCTACCACACAACAGATCTGATACATTCCTCCACTTCACTAATCCAACTCTAATTATACTAATAATATCCCCATCCATTTCATCATCGCTCGGAACAATAGACTTGGAGATATCTGATAGGTTCCACTTGAATATTCCAAGTGATTCCTATCGGATTCTTGCCAAAACACAATTATTCCACTGTTTTCAATAGAAAACAGCCACCAAACAGTAGAAAAACTGAGAGAATAAGGAGAAAACGTTGGAAAACAATAAAAAACAATTGTATTCCCTTAGTAGATGATCAAAACCAAAGCAAGATACAATGTTCTTCAATTCGAGAGGAAGAACAACTCTCCAACAATCTCCGGCAACGCCAAGAGCCCAAGCAAGAAAACCTAGAACACAAAACTCTTTTCAAAATCAAGATGATAACCTAATCCCCCCATAACTCCCTATTAGTACAATCTAATTCAAGTTAAAAGCAAAAGGACTTCTCTACCCCTCCTTCTCCCTCCAAAAACACTTAAACTATGTTTGAATTGCAAGTGGACCCCACCCCTTGGCCCTTTCCCTCTTCCGCCTCCCCTCTGTTCCGTTTTCGCCTGGAGAAGACCCGGACCGGCTGGGCCGGTCCAGGTTGGGCCGGTCCAGGCTGGACCGGCATAACAATATCTAAATTCTAAACATGCACTATTTTAATCATTTGGTCACCCAAATCCTACCACGATTACTATAAACGGATAGCATACACCTTTGATATCTAAACGGATAGCATACACAATTCAATGATGTTAGATGATGTTGCCTAAACCCTAAACTAACAAAACTAAATAAAACCAAGGTGAACAAACAACAAATAAAAAAAAGAAACCGGTAAAACCAACATAGCAATTTAGATAATACTACCCTCGCTCTATAAAGATAATCATCATAGGTATGCTCAAAACTACTAAAACTAGAACAAAACTTCTGAAAATTATAAATCGACTAAAGTAACATTAATAAGGGATAAAATCAAACTCATAATGTTGATTTGCATCAAATTTGCCAAGCTAGAAACAATTCAACTTTGGGCACTCGATAATCTTAAAGCTATTTTTCGCAGAAATGTTATGCTTCCTATGAAGCAATTAATGAATCATCATATTTAGGTCTATCATACTAGTGCATAAGATACCCCCAGTATAAACCGTAAGTAATGATCAAAATTTCATTAGCCAATATAACTTAAGCAACAAATAGTCAGCCAATAAAACTTCAGAGAATAAATAGTGTAGAATTGTTGAGCAAAATTTTAGATGCAAATTCATGAGGGGATGGGAAAAGGAGATGAACAAGGTTTTGATAATAAGTTCATGAACTAAAGCCAACTTAGACACATTGATGACTGAATTGATGTCAAAACTACATGGAATATCTAATTAATTCGGCATTAGTTACAATGCGCTGCAAAAAAATTTAAATGATCATGTTTTCTCGTATTCAATTTCTTCAAAGTTCATAAATGAAACTTTTCTAAATCTAAAGGCGCATTAGTTATCCCCTTGCTCAAATTGCTTAAATTTCACGTAACTTCAATTTACATAAAAAGAAACTTATAATTATCATATCAAATGGTCCATGTCCAATGAGTTGATTTTGAAATGTAAGGAGCCAGATGAAAGTAAGTTAGTTACAAACGGTCATGTGTCAAAAACAAGGAAACTTCTACCAACTAAAGGGCACATCATGGCATTCACTATTGAGAAAAGAAGTTTAGGTTAAACTTATGAAAAAGAACAAACAAAGTTTTCATTCCCAGATCAACAGATGATTGAATTGATTAACTCCACCAAAAAGTAATATAAATAAATAAAAAATATCAGCAACATTTTTGGATTGTATTCACAACGGCAAAAATGAAGTTTAGCAAGCAAAATATGAAGGAATTCAACCATTAAAAGAAGAAAAAAAAAATTTACCTAGCTTTGTTCCAACAAGTATTATAGGAACACCAGGGGCATAGTGCCTCAGCTCCGGAATCCACTGCAAATAGAATAAAACCACCAAAAAGGGCCATAGGTATCAATGTACCACAAAAGCTGCAAAAGGACAACATAAACTTGAGAAATTACGAATTAGCTTGGTAGCTTTTGCACCTTCTTTGCAATATTTTCATAGCTGGCCTTGCTGATGAGAGAAAAGGCCAGGATAAAAACATCTGCTCCACGATAGCTCAAAGGTCTTAATCTATTATAATCCTCCTGGCCTGTATATAAAAGAAAATAGAGAAATTGTTGGTTTAATCTCATCGATCTGAGGGCCAATGCAATTCAAAGCAACTTCAAGGAGGCAGACATGAAAAATATGTCCACTTACCTGCAGTGTCCCATAACCCTAGGTTAACAGTGCTTCCATCAACAACAACATTTGCACTGAAGTTGTCAAACACAGTAGGTACATAATCCTGTTTTTACAATAGATATGCAGTGGTAAAAACTTTATAACAGTTCTTGAATTGAATATCAAAGCATCATTCAATCTAACATTAAAAATGTAAACGGCAGACTGTACCTTTGGACAAAAAAAATTGTCAAAGATATTCCATTAACTGAAAGAAGAAGGATACATGCTTTCTGGGAAAAAAAAACCTATACAAAGTAATTAAAAAAAAGAATATACGATGACATAAATCCTAAGGTCATCTTTATCTTTAAGCTCAATTAAATATTTCTCTCACAAAAAGTGAATATATTAAACTTCAGATAAGTTTTACAATTTAAGTTACCAAAACAATTTGCAGGGAAAGAAAAACAATGTGAAACTTTTCATGATTAAACGTTGAAAATGCACTTCTTTTTACATCCACTTTCACTTTTTATCTCATTGATCGGCAAGAAACTTTTGTTTCGCCAATGTTTATGATAGCCATAATGGATCCTAATCATTTTTCCAACACACTTCACTAAGAAAATCAAAGAGTTGCCAATATAACGTCACTTTTATCTCATATTCAAAAGACTTATCCAGATATATGAGGGTTCACAAATTAGATACAACTTTGGTTAATAAATCTAAACTATAAGAATAATCTGCAAGAGCTTTCTGAAAAAGAAATAACAACAGTAAATTCGTATCTCCTTCAATGAAAGAATCTTAGGTACATGAAGCTTCGTAATTCTAAAATTCAAATTAATAAAACTCAGTTCCCTAAAATCCGCTGCCAGATATACGCATTAACATCTCCAGCATAATTTTTCAACAGAACAAAACAGCGTAACTAATCATGCTCTCCACACTTCAGATCCCTAACTAAAAATCCCATCCCAAATCCATAAATATCAAAACACCAGCCACAGAAAGCATTTAACAACAAATCAACAATCAATCCTATGAAAGAAAGAGAAATTTTCCAAACTCACCGTAGGAAATGTGTTGCTCGTGTACGATATAAGCATGCAGGTCTTTCCCACGGCACCGTCCCCAACAGTAACACACTTAATAAATCTCGAAGCACTCATCTCCTCCTCACCAATTCACCCTCCCACACGACAAGAATCAACCCCAGACTCTTGATTAGCAAACAAAATACCTCTCTTCACTCAGATTCGCATCAAAAACCGCATCGCACTACTTCCCCGATCAACCAAATCCTCGGCTGGAAAGGCACGGAATCCTAAACCCTAAATAAGAGACCGTAAGATCTGTAAATGGATCCGTTCCCTTCCGATCCTTCAGCCTTCACCGCGATGAGAAATCTCTGAAAGGAGGACGAGAGAATTATAAAGGGCGCGCCTTTTGGGATGCGGTTGAAGCGGTCTCGCATCGATTGGGATCAAAATATGTAATTTCATTGAATTAATAAGAAATTTGATAATTATAGCTGATTAGCTGAATTGTTTTTTCACTTGCTGCCAAAATGACAGCTAATACAATTTCTAATCCCTAACAAAATCCTGTGCCAAATGGGACAGATGGTTTTTTTTTTTTTTTTTTGGGGAATTAGATGGAGAAATTTCAGAAGAGAAGACACTGTATTCCTGAGAATTCTCATACCAAGTGGAAATATAATAAATATATAAAAAAGGGAAATTAATATCAACAATAAAAATAAAAATCTAGGATAATTCTAATTCCAAAAAAAAAAAATATATACCTCACATAATAACATTAAATAATTGATAAAAAAAATTATGATAATTCTTGATTATGTAATTAAAAATTTATCCAATCAAATATGGAGATTAATTAAAAATTTCCAGAACAAATTCGTAAATATAAATATATATGATAAATTTATAGCCGAACCAAAAGTGTAATAATATATGTCTGAATTATTGCATTGTTTTGATAAAATCAATAAATTGAATTGAATTGGTCTTATTTGATTAGTTTGATTTCATTGCTAAAGTAATCGTTTGATTATTATTTATAATTATTTTTGTTGTTGCTTTTGTAAAATCAATCAAATTAAAATTAAATTATGTTTATTTTAAAATGTTAAATCAATAAAAATAATATAAATAAGCAAGTGACATAAAAATAAATATAAAGGTTATTAATTAATGTAGAGGTTATTTATTCCACGGCCACCATATTTAAATTTAATAAAAATATTTAATATTTTTCTTAATGCATATTTTTAAGATTAAAATTATTAGACTTTCTTTTGTTAAAGTTAATTATATTTTATTCGTCCAAATTTGAATTAAGCTGACTAAGGCTTCGTTTGGGACGACTTTCTTACTGCATCTTAAAATAAATAATTAATAAAATAATGAAAGATATGATTGATTGATGATGTTGATGAATTGATAAAATAGATGGATGACATATAAAATGATGAAAATACTACTTTAAAAGCTTAATGTCCTACCATGTTGAATTCAACATTAATATGCATATATAATAGCATACATAATTACATACATGATATTATAGATATAGAAATAACAATTATTAATATATATGATATATATAGATAACATATGTAAATGATGATTAATGACTAATAAGACTGATTGACAAGATTGGATGATTGACATACTGGTAGACATATAAGGTATTAATATGAGTATATGATATATGACGGGGACATGATTGATCTATATAGGATAGGACCTTTTATGAATTATATTACAGATAAAGATATTATTCTTACAGTTATATGTTTATTATTTCTAGATATTGATTACGTGTTGGGTTATATGCTCATTATGTGATTTTTATATATTTTCAGGTAAGGATAAGAACATGTAGATTGAGGTTATTGTGAGCTGCATGCTTGAGTTACTTCATCTGTGGGTCATTCACTTTTTTTATAGTTATGATGTATTATTTTAGTAATTAATTATTATGATTGATCGTCATGATTATTGTATAAATTATTTTGAGGTATGGTGTAAATATTTGATGAAAAGATATAAAATTATGTTTTATGTTATTTATATTTTATGAATGCAAGTGGTCAGCTCTGATTGTTGATTGAAAAATAATAAAAATATGAAATTCCTATGCAAGTGGTCAGCTCGTATACTATGTATTCATATCAATACAATCTGCACATCAATCATCAGTTATGCTTTTATTATCATTCAATCAGTCAATAAATCATATCAATTGTATCATATATCATATGTCTTGTAGCCTATATCTTTCATATATTGTATCATATATATATTGTATATTATATCTCATATCATGTCCCTTGTATCATGTATCTATATGTCCTGAGGACAACCCAACATGAATCAGTCTCATTAGTCATATGATCAACCCATTAGGAATTGATCTCATCAATCATGTCCCATCATCCATCAATCATCAGTCTTACCTATCATCAATCTTATCAATCACCAATCTTATCTATTACCAATCTTATTAATCATCAGTCATAAGTTTCATTTATCATTAGCCTTATCTATCATCTATCTTATCAATCATCAGTCTTCTTAATCAGATTAATATCAATCACATCTATCTCATATAGTACATCAATTCATTTATTTTTGTTATTCTTACAAGCATTTCGTATCATGAATATCATAATAATAGACATTATGTACACATCATTTATAATTATCATAACATATAAATTTATCAAGTGTACTCATCAATATGCATGTTGTTATGCCCAAGAATCTAAATTGAAATAATTGTATATTTTTAAATCTTTTAATCATAAACTAGAGCTCACATTATGCAATATAAGTGGGAAGCATAATTATATTTATATATCATTTAATATTTACAACTGATACAAGCTTAAAATGGCATATGTATAATAGTCATAATATAAAATAAATAAATAAATCAATCACTATAAATATATCCTGACTAAAAATGATTATCTACTAGATGTAGAAGGAAAGACATAAACCCGAAGCAACAAACAAAAAAATCTCAAAAGTCTCTCTCTCTCTCTCTCTCTCTCTCTCTCTCTCTCTCTCTCTCTCTCTCCCCCTCTCTCCCTCTCTCCTTTATTCCCCGGCAAGGCAAATGAAATGAGGCTTTTTGAGTTATGATGAGGGATATTTCATATTGTATATATATAAACATCATTTAGTGCTTAGCATTGATGCACTGCATGAAGAATTCTAAGTTATTATAGAATAGAGAATATAGCACCACTATGCTCTCCAGCTCAGCAATGTAACAATACAAACCAAATTTTTATATTTTTAAATTAATTCATTTTACAATTCTACGATATTACAAAAGCATTTGTCAAAGATGACCAAAGGCACCTGCTAAAAGGGCCCAAGCTAGAGGCTGTTGGCAACATATATTTACCAGAGTCTCATCCACATGTCTAATCTATAACAATTAAACGTTGTGTTACTTTGTTATTTCTAAGTATAGCCTTGCAACACCTTGACCCTATAAATAAAGAGTTAAGAGGATTTTTTTTAAGCTTGTGTGAATCTTACTATTCATGAAGATAAATAGAATCTTAAAACTCAGTATCTTACCTTTCTCTTCCCTTTTTACTCTGTGATAACCTAGTTAATCTTGCAAGTAAGATATTAGATTTAAATCCAACCAATGGTGATGAACATAAACTTTTTCTAGTGATGGTACAAATTAACTTTTTTTATTAGGGGTGCTTCTATTAATTATCATCATAAAATGTTTATTATAATATTATAATATAATTTATTTCCATACAAAAGTCATAATTATAAGAAGATGAATAAGAAATTAAAGATGATTAGCTATGCTTCTAGTTTAATAAAAATAAACAGCAATATATATATATACATATATATGAGCTCTTTTTATTTGATATCTGTGATTAGTTTAACTATTTTATTGCTCTCTAATTTTTTCATTTTATCAATTTATTTATAATAAAATGATTAGAGACAATTTGAAGAGCTCATGGCATGAAATATTATAGCATAATCATTTAATATTACTATGAGGTGATGGTCTTCGTGGTGATGTAGATGAAGTATTGAATATGTTTATCCTTTTGGTTTATAACTTGCTTAATTAATAGACATAGTCATTGTACAAAACATAATGGAATGTAGTGGAGCCGACTCATAAGTTGGCTCAAGTTCGACTCAATAAATACTTATGAGCTGAGCTCAATAAGCTAACAAGTTAAGTTTGAGCTAGCCTTGACTCGACTTGTTAGCTTGTGAGCCAGTTATTTAAAAATATTAATAAAAATATCGTTAAAATATATTAGTATTTTCAAGCTTACTTATAAAATTGATAAACATACTAAAACAATTCTATATTGTTTTCTTAAAGAGCTAATTTCTTGTTTGGGACAATTTTTTTAAAAAAAATTTTAAGGCAGATGTAAAATATATTATTAATTTCAAGCTCACTTATAAAATTGATAAACATACTAAAACAATTCTATATTGTTTTCTTAAAGAGCTAATTTCTTGTTTGGGACAATTTTTTTAAAAAAAATTTTAAGGCAGATTTCTACTATAAAATTTTTAATTCTACTTCAAAAAGCAGTAGTTTTGTTGCTTTAAAAAACAATAAAAACATAATCTCAAACAAAGCAAAAAGTTAACAAAATTTATTTAAAAAATAAGTACAATATAAATTTTAATTTATTAATAGTTAAATTTAATTATTTTTTTAAGTTAAAATTAATTCTAATCAAATTTAAATAAGAATATCCTAAAATTAAATTCATACTAATTATATTTTGTATTATAGACAATTATTGTGTCATTAAAAAGCTCTCAAAATAGCAGGTACACTGCAAGATTGTCACTTGTAAAGTATAGAGTTAATTAAAGTGTAAATAAACTGAATGTTTATATTTGCATTTAAGCCCTTGTGTTTGACCGGTTGAACCACCTTGTTCACCAATCCGACATGATACGCAACCCCTCAACTGCTCTAACAAACTATCCAACAACCCTACAATAAATTACTAAATTGCGTTTCCACCCTACTAACTACCAAGATATTTTCAATATTTTGAAAATCTGATAACCTAAGTACCTAACAATCATTATCATTATTGCTCAAGCCATTTTATTTATTTATTTTAGAGTTCAAGCCAAATTTGAATATAACTCAAAACTCTTAAATTTTGCCCTAGATTAAATATAGTTAATTATATATTTAATGGCCATTATATATCACATTAATAAAAAAATTTTAAATAAAAATGAAAATATAAATTTATAGGGGTGTCAATTCGAGTCAACGGGCCGGGTTCGGGTCCAACCCGAGTTGACTTGAGAGTAAATGGGTTGACCCTAACACGACCCGTTTAGCTAATTTAGCCAGGATTTTCAACCCGGACCTCACCCGAGTGGGTTTTTGGGTTGACCCGTCCCAACCGGCGAACATGAACATTTGGCTT